GGTGCGCCCATAGGCACTACGCAGAGCTACCGAAGTCCACATAAACTCATCCCAGTCTTTAACGAGGAACGCGATGACCTGGACGCATATATACAGCGATTTGAGCGCGTCGCTACTAGTCAAGACTGGCCGGAAGACAAATTGGCCCTATCACGAAGCCTTTGCTTGACCGGAGAGGCCTTGAATGTAGTTCGTAGCATGGCACCTAAACATGCCACGAACTACGTAACGTTGAAGAAAACGCTACTACAACGCTTTAGGTTCACAGAAGAAGGCTATCAGACAAACTTTCGATCAGCTAAACCAGATAAATCTGAAACGGGCACGCAGTTTGCCGGGCGTCTATTAGCTTATTTTGACCGTTGGCAAGAAATGGCCAAGACAGACCGGACCTACAATGCTCTGCGAAACAAAATTGTCTTGGAGCAGTTTCTCGCACAATGCCATGAGAAACTCGCTGTGTTTCTTAAAGAAAGCAACTGTGAAAGCCTTGAAAAACTTGCGGAGGCTACAGACCACTACTTGGAGGCCCAGGGGACGTTTAACCTTGGCAAATGTAAAGGCGATATCCTGAGCAAGCCTCCAGGTCAAACTCGAACGTCTGAGCGGCAAGATGACAAAGAGAGACCGCAGTGTTTCCTTTGCAACAAAAAGGGTCACAGAGCTGCTGATTGCTGGACAAACACAAAGGGTCCAGCTACAAAGCCACCCTTTTGTGAAAAATGCCACCACACTGGGCATAAAACAGGTGACTGCTCCACAAGGGCCAACAGCGTTGAGAAGGCCTAATGCTCTTTTCAACAAAGAGATGGAGTCAAGATAATTAATCCAGCGTCGTAGGCTTCCCTTTGTGTTCTTTATAGTCCGGACTGCAGAGAAACGCACCCATCCAAGCTGAAGGAAAAATTGATGCCCACGGGCGGAGGTGTACTCGAAGGATATCCCGCAACAGTACTGCGAGATACCGGATGCGATTCAATAATTGTCCAATGGTCTCTTGTGGCGGATAGCAAGCTGACTGGAAAGCTTTCCTCGATTTACCTCTTGGATGGACGGTTGATGAAGCTGCCTGAAGCACACGTGGAAATTTTTTCATCTTTCTTCACTGGCAAAACTCGAGCCCTTTGTATGGATACTCCTTTATATGATGTTGTCTTGAGAAATGTGGAAGGCGTTTGAGATGCTCACAATCCTGATAACGATTGGAAGAGCCGTCTTTACACCCAGATCACTGAAAAGAGTATTCTGGCGCAGAAAAATTCGGTTCTGCACAAGGACCCTTGCATGCAAAGACATCGATGCCGGCTGCAAGAAAAACACGTTTCAAGAGACAAGTCTGCAGTAAGCCGACAGGCAGGAAATTCACATCTACTTCCGGTTCCAGTTATTAACTCCTTGGACATCAGGCCACAGGACTTTAGAACCAAACAGGAGAAAGACAACAGCCTGCGGAAATGCTTCGAAGCCGTTAACAAAGAGGTCAAGACAAGGTATTCTAAAATATTGTTCTTCACGAAGGACGGAATTCTTTATCGCAAGTACACCCTTCACTCTAAGAGGCAGGTGAATCAGCTGGTGGTACCAAGGTGCCTCCAATATTTTGTTATGAAAATGGCCCACGAAGGCATCCTTTCGGGCCATCAGGGAATTAAACGAACTACAGACCAGGCACTCGAAGAGTTCTACTGGCCAGGGGTTCAGTCAGTCATCACACGATTTGTTCAATCGTGTGACATATGTCAAAAATCTATTTCCAAGCACTTGGTGGGTCGTGTACCTCTCGGCAACACTCCTATAATTGACACCCCGTTCAAGAGAGTAGCCATTGATATTGTGGGACCATTATCACCGATGTCAAAGGGCGGAAGCAAGTACGTACTGACAATGGTGGACATGGCAACGCGTTATCTCGAAGCTGTAGCACTGCCGAGCATCGAGACGGAGAAAGTCGCTGAGGCACTTCTGGAGATGTTTTCTCGTGTAGGTGTCCCACGGGAGATAATCAGTGACAGAGGCACGTCATTCTCGTCACGCCTAATGAAGGAGCTAAGCTGACTTCCCTCCTTCAAAAAATTGCCAACAACCCCGTATCATCCCATGGCTAATGACCTTGTAGAGAGGTTCAACGGCACCCCGAAACAAATAATAAGAAGAATGTGTCAGGAGTGTCCGAAGAAATGGGACCGATACCTGGCGCCCTTACTCTTCGCTTATGGCGAAGTTCCCCAATCGAGCTTAGGCTTCTCCCCGTTCGACTTGCTCTACGGCCGTCACGTCAGAGGTCCTCTTGCGATATTGAAAGAATTATGGGCCGCTGATCATCTTGATGATGATGTGAAAACATCCTACGGGTACGTAGTCGAACTGCAGAATCGTCTTGAAGACACCGGCCGTCTAGCCAAGGAGGAGCTTTAGAAAGCGAAGATAGTACAAAAAAAGCATTATGACCAAAAGGTCAGACCACGTCAATTATCCCCTGGAGACAAGCTTCTACTTCTGCTTCCATCGGATACCAACAAATTGATTCTGACGTGGAAAGGACCATTTAATGTCCTTGAGAAAAGAAACGATGTCAACTATTTAATTGACCTCGGTACCAGAAGCACGCTATTCCATATATACCTACTAAAAAGTGTGAGGAATGGTTGCGTGCACCACCGCATGAAGCAGCAGCTGTTTGCCAGGCGGATAACACTGCAAGCGATGAGCTACCATGCGTTCTACTCCAACGAAACGAATACTACACCCAGTGTCATACGCAAGCCGTGGACTGCAACCACGCAAAACTGCTTTCTCTACAGTGGAGCGAGCGGCCCTGGCTATTACGTGGGTGGTCCGGAAATTTCACATCTACCTATTTGGACGCACATTCATTCTACAAAGTGACCACAAACCACTAGTGTACATAAAGTCGGCCAAGCATGTGAACAGCCGCGTGTTACGGTGAAGCCTCATTCCTATGGAGTACGACATTTCAGTCAAGTATATCAAACGCACAGACAACAGAGACGCAGATTACACGAGCTGTTTGCCAACTTCGTGAGCAACGTCTGTATGAAGAATCGATGCTCAGTGGTATTATTAGCTTGTGATGTGAACCTTACAGTGCGATACAAGTATTATGATGCTTTAGTTCTGTGACTTGTTTCTTTTTTTCCTGGTGTGTACTTTTGTGACCGAATGTGCCGAGTGTGCGGGGCTCAGAACTGCTATATTGTGCAGTGGTGCTTACGTGTGTGTTTCCGACTGCGAACCAATGTGTTGCCAGTGCCCTCAAGTTCTTCTACCGGAAGAACTTTCTTAAGTGAGGGGTGATGTAATGTAGTAGCTCAATAAAATGCGAGCATAGCAGACGACAGCGCCACATCACCTTGAAGATAAGAAGAATGAAGGGGCATTGCAGAGCGCCCATCGGAAAAAGAAGAGAAGACGCTCGCAGAGAACGACGCTGTTCGGACGCCGGCAAGACGGCGCAAAGGAGCCTAGGGTGAACTCGCAACTACGCGTGAGGTTCGAAAGGCCGGATTCTTGTCCTCGAGCCATTGACGTCCTCGGGGCACGGCTTGTCGGCGTGGCCAGGCGCGAGTTCTGGGTGAGTGGTCCATCTCCGGTACGGCGAGCGCCCTCGAAAGACCGGAGCTGCTGACCACGTCCAGCGAGCCAACGTCGCTGACAGTGTGCGGCTACGCCTAGACCTGGTGATACCTTCTACAGTGGTATTCTGACCTCGCACCCAAGCGACGACATCATCCAAGCACGCAACGGGTCCCACTTCAAGGCACCGGGCTACGGCACAGACTGTGAGACTGTTTACTCTTTTCTATTGTGTGTGAACTGCGTGCGTGTACGACCTATAGTACTGTATGCGCAATAGTTTTTTTGTTCGTCCAATATAACTCCCTTTTGTTTTCCTCACTGTCTCCGTCTTCCTCGCGTCACACGCCTTGCTATGTGACGAACCTAACCACGACAGCCTTGCACATCACTGCTGCTTCGCATCCCATCAGAGTTCCTCCCGGAGAGATGTTCCAAGTTTCTGTCTCTCTTTCTTTTTCATATTTTTGCCGTTCTCTTCTTGTCTGATATTTCTCACGAAGTAATATAAATGTGAAAGCGATCGACAATACCCTAATTCCTGGTGTTGGCCAAACTCTGGCTGCTGCTGTCGAGTTCGCACACACACAGATGTTCTTCCCAATATATATATATATATATATATATACATATTTAGAGCGGCCATTATCATCATCATTCGCCACTTTTTTATTATGGTGCGCTCAGGTGCAAGTAGAAGTTCACGCGCTTTGTTCCTTGTCTGGCATGCTCCAGGCTACGCAGTTGAAATATAATAAAGCTCAGTTCTGCTGCTGCTCTCGATCTTAACGAGTTCTTTCTTTTTTCGCTTGCTGCCACACGCATGCTTATAGAGAACCTAACCTCGGTCCCTATAACGTTGTTACCCGGACATCAGTACCACACGGCGAGCATTGCGTCATGAACGAGACCAAGCACGACAGGCCGAAGAGAGGCACGGAAGGCATCGCCACAGTGCAGATTCAGCTGCTTTCGTTTTGGCCACAAAATACTGCAGCATGGTTTACACACATCAAGGCCATGTTTGCCTTTTGGCACATTATTTCGCAGCAAGTGAAGTATCACCACGCTGTCTCCACACCCTCATCTGACGCGGTTGCAGAGTTCCATCACCTTGTGGGCGCACCCCACGAATTTCAAGGCAACGGTGCTTCAACATAAGTCTGTGCCTTTTAGCAGGCGTGCTGGAAAACGTGGTTGTTGCCTTGGCTACCGCACCAGATGACCTGCCCCTCAACAAGCTGGTGGAGTTGACTGATCGCGTCTCTGACTATTCCTACCATTCCGCCATCACACCTCGAAGACCGGAAGTCTCGCCTCGAGCAATTAATCGATCTCCTCGCATAGACGGTTAATGCACTATGACCACCGTTCCACTAACTGTCGACGGGACCGCAATTGCCGTCCTAGATCTTCTCCGAGATCTCGCTTCCGTTCAGGTTCTCGTTGACCCGTATACTGCTGGTATCACAGCACCTTCGGTGCCAGCGCATCTGAATTCTCACCTCCTTGTAGCTGGCAGAGAAACATACCACGGAGCCACTGATGGCGGCCAGTGACTCTTGCTGAATGATAAGCCCCCTGTTATATGTCACTGACAGGATTGCCGAGAATCGAGTTTTTGTGGACATAGGCCTAGAGGTAAGTGTCGTTGCTGTGGCAGGACTACTCTGGCAACGCTTTCCGAAAACCGCGCCCTTTCAAGCAACCTACAGCTCTCTCATCAACACATATGGTCAGCGCTCTCTTACGATTGGTTTGGGTCTCCTACACACCTTTCGGTTGGTATTCCTTGTTGCAGATATATCCATGGCCATATTGGGTGCCAATTTTCAGACCCATTTTGCCCTCAGTGTTGACCTCCACACGCGTCGACTTGTCGAGATGACTAGTACTCCCATACAAGACATTATCGCACCTCCAGCTACTACCACTGGAAAAATGCCACAGAGACCATCATCTATATTCGCCTCGATTCCGGCAGACTTTCCAGCCATCACTAAACCTTCCAGCCTTAAGCTGCCACTCCACCACAACGTCACGCATTACTACTGGCCCTCCAATGTTTTGCCGGCCGAGATTCATCGCGGGGAAGCGCCTTGCCATCGTCAAAAAAGAATTCGACCACAACTGTCACCATCCGTCCTTCATCGAGCAGTTCGTCGTCAGCTCTGCCCATGGTACCAAAGCGTGACCCAGAGAATTGGCGCTCATGCGGTGACTACCGTGCTTTCAACGCGCGCACCATCCCTGAACGCTATTCTCTCCCTCATATTGACGACTTCTGTGGCAACCTCGCGGGAGTGGACATATTTAAAAAAATAGACTTGTTAATTGCCTACCACCAGATTCCGGTTGAGCCAGTGGACGCTCCTAAGACTGCAATTGTGACACCATTCGGGCTTTTTGAGTACGTTCGCATGCCGTTCGGGTTTAGAAACGCTGCCCATACGTTCCAGCGGTTTAAACACAAAGTGTACTGCGGCTTTACTTTCGCATTTGCATATCTTGACGAGCACCTGGTGGCTAGGGCTTCTGCCGAAGAGCATTGAAATTATTTGGGCCGCCTACTTTCTCAGCTCCAGAACACGAACCCGCATCAACCCCACAAAATGTGTCTTTGGTGTCTAAGACATCGATTTCCTCGGACACCGCGTGAATGCCGAGGGCATCAGGCCGTTGCACAAAAAATATAAAGCCATACGCGACTTACCTCACCCAAAATCTATCCGGAAGCCCCGCGAGTTCCTTGGGCTGCTCATGCGTCCACTGCCATTTTCTTCGGAACATCGCCCGCACATTCATACCACTCACCGACCTACTCAAGACTATCAAAGCTCCACTCCCCCCTGACGTGAACGCCTAACACCGGATCGTCCTTCCATGCTACCAATAACGCATTGGCAGATGCCACAATATTGTTGCATCCTCTGCATGTTGCACCAATACGTCTCAACACCGATGCATCTGGTATTGCCATCGGTGTGGTGTTACAACAGTTGCAACGCAACTCCTGGTACCCACTTGAGTTTGTCCCGCTGAAACTAAACTTAGAAAAAGAGTACAATCCAACCACCCGCGTAAAATCGGATTCCAATAGCCATTGGTTCAACAAGCAACTGAAAAGCCTCCTAAATAGAAGAAAAGAACATCTCTACAGGACCGCCAGTCAGTCCATTAACCCTTTAGCTTGAGAAAAACACCACCACTGTGCCAAAAATATATCGAGGAACTACAACAAGCTAAAGATAAATATTTTTCTTGTGATCTACTATCTATGCTCTGTTTAAATCCTATTAAATTTTTGCGCATGCTCTCAGAAAAATCTGAATGCTAACATAGATATTCTAGGCCCAGACGGCGAACCAATAGACACAAAAAACGTTGCCACGACCCTAAATGACTACTTCTCATCTGTATTTTCTACCCCTAACACTGGCCAGCCCACACGTTTATCTATCCGTTCCCCCGGCGCTGTGTTCCGCGAAATAGCATTTAACCCTGAAGAAATCGTTAAACTAATAACTGATCTTAAGATATCTTCAGCCCCAGGATGTGACCAAATCACCCTCCCAACATTTAGTTTACACCACCGCAGTGGTTAGTCAGATTCTTTGCCTCATCTTCATGCAGTCCATTGAAACAAGCGAAGTTCAACACGATTGAAAGATAGGCCGAATAGTCGCGATCTTCATTACCGAAGAACGAACTAATGCAGCAAACTGCCGCCCCATTTGCCTGACCAGCATTCCCTCTAAATTACTGGAACACATTAAAACTTCTCACATCAGGACTCACCTTGAATCAATAAATTTCTTCTATAACCACCAGCATGGTTTCCGAAAGCACTTCTCATGCGAGACCCAATTGGCGGAGTTTACCCACGATCTACTAAAAAGCATGGATGACAACCTTCAGATCGATGCCGTATTCCTTGATTTTTCTAAAGCTTTTGATCACGTACCACATAATCTATTACTTAGCAAAATTCATTCACTTGGCATTGTACCGAATATTGTCTCCTAGGTTGAACACTTTCTCTAACCGTAAACAATTCACCTCTGCTAATAATCATAACTCCTCTTCACCTAGCATATCATCAGGCGTACCTCTGGGCGCGGGCTTATCACCTCTTCTACTTTTAACATTCATATACGACCTACCCACAAACATTCAAACAAACCTACGACTGTTTGTGGACGACTGTGTCATATACTCCCCCGTTCACAACATTGAAACCAGCACTAAATTACAACAAGACCTCAACACAGTTGCGCTATGGTGCCAAAACTCATGAATGCCATTAAACCTAACCAAATGCAAATCGATGTCATTTTCCCATAAGGGCACCGCTGTTCATCATACCTACTTTATCAATTCGTTTCCTCTCGAGTCAGCTTCGTCGCATAGGTGTCTCGGTGTTGCGAAGCGCGCCTCCGACGACGTTACGAAGGGCGCCACGAATCTCACCGCTGCAACCACTGTTTACGAAAGACGGCGGCGCCAACATGGTGCCGAAGGCGCCGCTGCTCCGATCTCCGCCGACACGGTCACCAGCGGTTTGGTAGCGTAGGTTTATCAGCTCGCGACTGCTTCTGAGCAGAGCAGATAGATGAGCGGACGAGACGACGGTGAGTTAAACAAGGTTTATGTACAGCATATATACAGAGGCGTTACAAATTTGGCACTGGGGCCGACAGCTTAGAGACCCGAGAGCCGAGCTCTCCTCTCTAACACATAGGTCTACTGCTCGCGACACGCCGCAGGGCTTCTTTTATATGCACCGGGTGGATTCTTTGAGTAACCAAATGTCCAACCAGAAGTGCCGCTGGTCGTGAGGTCAGAATCCTCCATTGGGGTCGCCGCTGGGCCGTGTCATTATCATCAAATCTGGAGCTGCTGCGCTGCACGTGGCTGCACCCAAGGACGAGTGACGTCGGCACGCATTGCGTCAGACTCGCCCGACCGGAAGGTGCTGATTGCTTCGACGGGCTCTCTGGCTGAGGTGACTCACTGTGCGTGCGCGGCAGAAAGGCATCACCGCGTTATGACGCCGTTGAGTTCGCGTCAGGTGGGCTCGCGGGCTGGCCTTGACACAGATTGCCTTTTTTCAGAGGCATGGACGTTCGCTGTGGACTCGCAGGCATAGCAGCACCTCGCCGCCACGCAATGCGCCGGAAAGACGAGCTGCTTCCACGTGGCTTGGATGTCAGGCGCACTCCTTCGCCAGGTCCCTTCGGGTTCACCTCCAGGGCCATGGGGAGAACGCAGCTCGAGACTCTGTTCCGGGAACACATCCCATTCTTGAGGACGGATCCCAGCTCCACTGGCTTGTCGCCACAACTTGTCGACCAGCTTCGCTCGTCTCTTCTGACGATCTTTGGTCTCAGCACTTGTCGATGGTTTTGCAACCTGTCAAGAACGACTCGACAACAGACAACACACGACACAAGCAAGTGACCATGGTCACCCGACAGAACACCAGACAAAGTATAGCACATCATATACCTAGCTATGTGTCTATCGGAATTAGGTTTCCTCTACACTAAGAGGCACATGTGGGACACAAGACTCTTAAAATGAGAACTCAATTTTTTCACACGTACAACAACGGCGCGAAATAGAATAGAACATAAAACTGGCTCCTTGAGCTCATTCTGGACGAGAGCACTCAGCTAAGGCCGTGATGAGACAAAATTTTGCCCCGAATCGCCAGCGAGAAACCAAAACGTGGAGAAAGTAATAACTAAAACGCACGGCTCAATGCGTCTGCATTAGCGTTCCGCTTTTCTTTTTTGTAGCGAACGTCAAAGTTGTGCTGTTGGAGCATCATGCTCCACCTCAGTAACCGGCCACTTTAAGGCGACAATACCTAGGCGGTACTAAGGGCTGCTCGTACTTGCGACATTGCACATCTGTGTAACTACAACGTGGAAGTCCAGATTTCTCATAAAAAGAAACATTACTTCTCAGCTCCTCCTTCTGGACTTCACTTAACCTAGGCTCTAGGTTCAACTGCTTCAATATTACCCCCGATCCCCTTTTGATTACATCACTAGAACTCAACTCTAAATTTCTGCTCCTTCTTCCTTTGAAGCATTCAAAAGCGAATTTACGACCAGTTAACGTTGAACGTATGGTTTCATCAAATTACTGTGGTAAATTTTGTTCGGCCACCTTCCAAACTTTACTTCATAATTGGTATCAGAAAGCTTCGTTATTACTTTGGCGGGCCCCTCCCAATGAACCTCAATCTTGTTCTTTTTGGGCGGCCGCGGCAGCATTACCTGACTACCAACTTCAAAAGCACGCTTCTTCGCCGATTTATCGTAGTACTCCTTCGACAACACTTGTGCAGCCTTCATGTGGCTTTCCACTAGGTCTTTCGTTTTTCCAAGCCTCTGAAGGAGGTCTAAAACATACGCAACTACATTAGGGTCCTCATCAAAACGCTCCCAGGACTCGCACAGCAACCGCAATGGTTGTTCTCAAACTCCTGTCATAGGCAAACTCTGCAGGGCTAAAACCAGTGCTCTCATGAGGAGCTCATCTCAAAGCGAACATA